TTCTGGTTTGCACCCTGTGGCCTGTCACTTGCCTCTCTGCTGGATCCGTATGGCACAGACTGCCTGCTTGCTGCGGACTGAGGTCTGTGAAGAGCGTAAAGCTGGCCCTTGTTCTCCCTGACAGCGTCCTGGAGGGAATGCAGAGGCAAGAACATAAAAGTTCAGCACAGACGGGGTTGGGGATTGTTCCCTGTATGGTGCCCCACCTTCCAGCTGTCAGCTACGGGAAGTTCCTGGGCCAAAAGCAGGATCACTGAGTGGGCCTTTTCCGTGTACATTTGTCACTAATAACATGTGGTGAGCAGTTTTATTGCAGCGTGAGCTTTGCCTAAATTCAGAATCAGATGCACCATGTCCCATCTCTGTCTGAATTCCTGAGTAATGCACTCTGTGCACAGGTATTCATGACACAGATACATACGAGCGTGTACTTGTAAATGACTGGAGATTTAGGTGAAGTCTGTGTATTTCTATTACATGCACAAACATATATTTATGCCTTCTAGGTTCATTCTTTTGATGGCACAAAGGAAGAAGCAGCAGCTATAATAGATTTGGATCTTTACATTGGAATAAATGGCTGGTGAGTTATTTCCAGGAAATAAAGCTATTTTAAAGTGTCAGCTGCAGTGAACTCATTACTTTCTTTTAAATGATGAGGTCAAGTTTTCAAAGCTCAGTAGGCCCTTAATCGGCTGACAGATTTAGAATTGCACTCGTTAATCTCTTAGCTACAAAAAGTTCCTAACTCACAGCTCAGGAAGTTAATCAAGCCTTGGGTCCTTTCTGCTACCCTCCAATCAATCCTTGTGTGTAAATAAATAAGGACTGAACGTGGAAGCAGGCTTTCTGTGAGGCGCCTTTAAAATAAAATAGCGTAGTTTGAAATTGCTGTGTTAAATCCAGGAGTAAAGCAAATGCAACCTGATCAGCCTTATGGACTGGTCTCACAGGCTGAACCTCAGCAGTCATCTGGTCAAAAGTCAGCCAGCCTGACTTCAAGTTGCATGGCTTGGTGAGGGCTGGGCAAGGGAGGCAGCGCGGGTGGGGGTTCTGCTTACATACCAGGTCGAGCCAGCTTCACTGTGTAGCTCCTAATCTGCTGTTCTCTGCAAGGTTTGAAGTTGCAGGAGCACTTTTAAAAGTAAAACAAATTTTATTAATTATTTAGGAGGCTGCTTTTGCTACAGAACAACAAGCAAAGTAATTAAACAGTTGGTTTTTTTTTGTTTGTAACCAAACTCTGATCTTCTAGTTCCTTGAAAACAGAAGCCAACTTGGAAACCCTGAAATCAATTCCTAGTGAACGATTAATGATAGAGACCGGTAAGATTTTATATCTTGCTCAGCAGTTGGTGACTTACGTGCTCTTAGGCAATAAGATGTGTGTGCACAGCAATGATAAGGCAGGATCAGGAATTAAGGAGTCAGGAGTAGAAAAAGGGCTGCCAGTTGCTCTGCTTTGGAAGACAGTTTACAGGCTCATTCTCAGCCTTCTGCTAGAGGTAATGAGCTGCCTTGCCAGCTTCTGGCATGACAGGGGAAGACGAAAAGGACAAATGAACAAGCCCACATTCCCAGTTGTATTGAGATACCAAAATCCTGCTGGAGTGGTGGAAATGGACCATATGCAGGGAGATGGCTAAGACATCTGACCAGTAGCAGCAGTAATGGCAATGAAAACAACAGCTCTATAAATGGAACGCGCTGGGAGAAGGCTTCAGTTCCCCTCTTGGGCTAATGAGCAGTGATTTTAATTTACTGAGCAGGGGTGGGATTTTTTTTGCACATACATTTTACATATGAGTAATGGTCCATTAAAAAAGCAGTATTCATTTGAATTTCTCAATCTGAGAGAAGGGGAAAAAAAAAAAAGCAAACTGCCTAAAACCTTGAATTTATTTGCACATAAAATATAAACCAGTTAAAAAACACAGGAAATTTCAGTGGAACAGATGCAGTGTATCTCACCATCTTTGTTACGCCAGTGGAAGTTAGTGCTATATATTATTGTTGCTGATACTTCAGAAAGTAAACTTCTAAGATAATGGTATGAAAATACGAAGATTGTTAAGATGTTAAATTGCCCAAATCTCTTAAATTCCATTTTGGACTGGAAGTCATTGCTGGAAAGAATTTGCTAGAGCTTTTGTCTGTGGACACAGTTGATTAAACCATCTCATGGTATTCTCAAGTGATTGCATGCTCCTAACTGTCTTTCAAATGCAACTAGATGCGCCTTGGTGTGGAGTGAAAAATACCCATGCTGGATCAAAATACGTAAAAACGACATTTCCTACCAAAAAGAAATGGGAAATAGGGCACTGCTTGAAGGACAGAAACGAGCCCTGCCATATAATGTAAGTGTGCTGCTGTAGTAGTACGAAAAGTACTTCAAATCTCACGGGGGGGGGAAAAGCAACAGTTCACTGGAAGTGTAGCAAATAGAAATGAGTATAAATTTATTGAAACTTATGTAAGGTATTGCTTAATTGGCTCTGAAAAAAAAATAAAAGGTCTTTATTTTCCCATTTTGGCAATTCTGGATGTAAAAAGCTCCCTGAAAACTAAACCAATACTGTTTCTGTCTTTTCCCTCAGCATGTTGGAGAATTGAGAATTAACCAATTAATTTAATTGGTTAAACCCCGTACAGTAACCTGGGTTTGAACAAATTTTGCTCAGTTGCAGTTATTTTTAAGACTGATAGAACCTAGAGCTGTGCAGCCCTCTGAGGGCTGAGCTCTGAGGGGAGACAGCACCAAGATACGGGGTGGACAGAAGCGACCCAAACCGTTCGTACAGCTTCTCCCAGGCCCCGAGGAGACCAGCTGTGCTGTGCCCATGGTACAAACTGCTGTGATGTGGATTTGGCCTGGGATCCTTTCTGTATTCTGCTGCTGTGCTGTAAAAAAAAAAAAAATGGGTTCATGAAATAGTGATCCTGTGAAGTTTAGTTATGAGTAACGGATCGACATACAGATCAGAGAAAGAAACTCCTAGGGGTACAGGGCATAGAATTTAGATGTACAGAAACTTGGTTTCCTGCCACCTCTTTGTAATGCATCCTCCCAGAGGTGGAAAAAGCAAGGAAACATGCCCTGTTTTAGTGAAAATGTTTAGTTATCTCCGTTAAATAGCTTTGGCAGATGAAATGCCTGAAGTTTTATGACTGTTAGCACAATCTGGTTGGTGTCACGGCAGGCTTCTCTGTCATCTTCTCATTATCAGCTCCTGGAAAAGGAGTTCAGGAAGGTTTCTTGTGGCGTAGCGCCTGAATGACTTCAGTGCAGCAAGTTAAAGTTCACGGCTGTACTTACACAGCTGCAAAGCCTGTTTGTGTGATCAAAAGATCTTTTCTTTGCTCAAAGCCTCTATGTATTTCTCCGAAAAGTTGTGTAAATGACCTGTTTGGAACTGGATTTTGAAATAGTTCTCACGATGCTACGAAAGAACCTAGGAATTTGGCAGTGTCTAAGAGGTTATGTGACAGCTGAGGGCAGTGCTGTGTTTTTGAGAGGCCTGAAGAAACTTCAGAGAAAAAATTGATCATGCTAAAACTTACACAGTGACTCTACCAGTGTTCAGATATATTTCTGTGCAGTTACTTTGCTCTGTAATAACTCCTTGAAATTAATTTTATTTTGAACCCAACACTAGCACAGAAGGGCTGTTTCAGTATTGAGGCTTTCTGAGGTCAGTCCATGACTGTGGAGTAGGGAAGAGATCAACCGAAAAACAAAATCTTGTTTAGCTTAACCTTATTTCAAACCAACTGTCCTTTTAAAATTAATTATAACCTTTACTGGATGTAGATTAGTAACCTGAGAACCTCTTAAACCTTAGGAAGCGCAGTATTTTGTGACTTCTTGAGCAGCATGATCTGTTGTGAGTGGAAAGGTAGCGCGAGGCCACAAACTATATTTAATATTTAGGGTATATATGCTGTTTAATATAGCTCTGTTGGCAGGAGGGTTTTTCCACTTGTCTTTTTTTGGTGGTGAATGGGGGCGGGGGGGACAGCTTTCAATTCTGCTGGTGATTTTATATATATATTATATATATATATATATAAATAACTGCACTACCCCCCTTGGAAGCTATTTTTATTGAAATTCTAGCCACCAGAGGCTTTTTTTTCTCTCCCGCAGTTTTCATACACACAGTGTCACAGAAACTTGTAGGATGCTACAAGAATACACCCTACTGCATCCTTGTGAGGATCGGTACCTGAAAGCCCCACCAAAACTCTTCAGGGCTGAAATTCTTTGATACTTGGCAGATATTTCTGTGTAGGCCTGATTTTACCCCATCTTCTCTTGAATATCTCCTTAAACCAAGAAGCTGTTTGGCTGCAAAGCACATGAGTGGGCATGAAACAGGCTAATTCTTCACCGAGGAAAATACCAGTATGAAAGGAATAGTTGGGAGCAACTTTTTCTACTCTGCCTCCTTCAAAAAGAAGTTTAACTATTGTATAAGTTGTGGCAAACATCCAGAACCCAAACACCATTGAACTTGAGGTCCTTCATCTATATTACAAAGCAGCTTGCTTGCTTTCCTACTGCTAGGGAAAAAAATATAAAGCCTGTTAGGAATTGTACAGAATGTACACTATTTTTCTGTACACACAAGTGTTAGGAAATCAAGAAAAAAAAATACAGAGACAAGGTTGTGGCTTGTTTTTGTCTTACGAAGTGTTACTACTACTCATTCAATTTATTTTGCCACCTTTTCCCGGGTTGTATCAAGGCCACAGGCCTTTTATAGTGCTTATTTAACATCGACTACTACTACCTGCGTGTATTCCTCACAATACAGAGAAAGGGGAGGTTGCAATGACCTCTTTTGGCAGCTGTGCTCTCGGGTAGGTTTATAGCTGGAATTTAAGCTTTGCCATAAACCCGTTTGTTTATAGTGCAGCTTTAACCTTGAAAGGAGGTTAATGAATTTCAGTCTGAGGAATCAAGACCGCTGATAAAGACATGCACAAAGTGACACTTTCTTTGAAACAGAAGGCTGTTTAATAACCTCTGAACAAGAGTCAAAAGACCAAAGATGAATCTGTACCAGGGAGCAACCCGTGTTCAGGGAATGGACGTCAGTGACTTAGAAGTGAAGCTGTTTGCAGGTTTGAGCATCTTACCCTGGTGCTCTCAAAGGAGGTTTTTATTCCAGGTGAATCTTAGTTCCTGATGTACATACAGATGTGACAGTCTGACATATGTTCAGTGCTGAGTTTCAGCATCTCTAATACCCATCTTTCTTTTTTAGTCAAATCCTGGAAATAATGGCAGCGGTAAGAGAAGAAGACCCGCTCGAGTTGGCCAATACGCTATATAACAACACTATTAAAGTCTTCTTTCCAAATATGTAAAGTTGTTCTTCTTAAGCTCACTCAGCATAACTTAAGACTGATCATATCTGCAAGTTCTTATCAATGGAAGCCAGTATGTAGTGCTTTTTTTTGTACAAGATTAAAGCTGATTTTGAAAAAGGTGGTCTGCAGTGGTACAGTTTCTCAGCCCTATTTCCTTTGCATCAAGATTGAGGATCAATTTTTAAGATAGTCTAAGCTAGCAGCTCTTTTTAATACGTGTATGCGTTGCAAAATGAATACCAGGCTGCTGAGTTCACATGTAGAATACTTCAAGTTACTACTGGTAATTCAGAAGTGCTTAACAAATCAAGTGCATGCTTTACTACTTTACCCCAAAGCTTAACAGGTTCATTTTTTTGTTCCGCATACACAAATGCTGTAGCATTAAGCCTACCAGCCTATTTTTTTTTTATTTTTATTAATACAACTCACTAGTTTTTAAGCAATAAAGCTCTGCTAATACTGAATTTGTAAGTAAAGCTACTTTGGTTCAGGCTTTTCGTTTCTGATTGGAGCTGTTGAACAGTCTGCTTTCACCAATAGTTTTCCTTTACATCCAGAACTCATTGATCAGGGATTACTGCTATACAGTCTTTGGCACAGCATTCTCACTACAGCAATTAAAGAGTGTTTTTCCAACCATCTTAAAAACATGAAAACATTTTATTCCATGTACAATAATGTACATAATTTAAGGTGGTCATGAAAGAGACCAGCAAGTTAGAGGTATATTTACAGTAGCACACACCACAGTAAACAACCACCATTCACAGACTCAACATCAAGATACTGCTGTTGTGCTTAGGTATAACAACTACAAAGTGATACTTTTTTCATCTGTTGAAGTCAATTTAAACAAATAATACCTCACAGCTTAGGAAAGGACTTCTTAATCACCCAGAGAGTTAGAGTTAGCATTAAGAGTCTCATTCAAGTGCTGTTCCACACAGTCGTCGTCGTCGTCGTCATCTTCGTCACTCTCTGAACTGTCATTATCTTCATTTAATTCATTTTCAGCATCAGCAGCTTCTTCTGCAGCTTCTACAGGACCTTCGTTGGGTGCCACAAACCCACTGTTGTTAGAGACGTTGGCGTTCTCCTTGTCCTCAATGTACACCTTCTGGTGGCACATGGGGCACGTGTCCTGAATGTACAGCCACTTCCGAAGACAAAGTGCATGAAAGTAATGGTTGCAGGGCGTAATGCGAGCAGAGGTGGTGAACTCGTGGTAGCAGATTGCACATACGTCGTCTATTTCGCGTAGCCGGCTGCCTTTTACCTCGGGAAGGGAGTTGATTTTCTTAACAGCAGTCCTGCGGTTTATAAAAGTCTTCCAGCCGTTCTTGGCTTGCAAGTAGATGTTGAAGTACGCATGCAGACACATCATGCAAGCGCGGATCTTACTTCCCGACTCAAAGATCATTGTGTAAGCTCCGTTCCCAAACATCATCACTCCAAAAATGAACTCGATAATATTGCCAGTCGAACGAACATAATAGACATAATCATCGAGTTTCTCCCACAGCACGTTATAGTAGCCATCGATCATGAACAAAATATAAACAGTGATAGAAACGATGACTTTTAGGCAAAGCTCGACGCAGAACGCCGTGACCGCGAAAAGCCACGTGTTCAGGGCATAGTGGTGCCACAGGACGTAGCTGAGCAGAACCGGCAGGACGAAAAGGCAAGCCGAAACGAACAGCACGGGGAAGTGTCTGCGGAACGACGAGACGTGGGAGGCACTGAGAGACATCAGTACGGGGTCCGTCATTCCGTGGATGAAATGCAGGACTGCGGTCAGCAGAAGGCACATGTTGCGGCTCAAGCGAACCAGCCTCTCCTCTGGTTTCAGGCCGCTCAAGCCAGTCTGCAGGGCCAAAATGAAAAACAAAACGGGCGCTACGAAACCCAGCCTTTTGTCATCCTCGTCGGTCGAGCCGATGAAGGCCAAGATGCCGAGCCCCAAATAATGTGCTATGGAGGAGATGACGGCGCTCATGCCTAACACAGTTAAGGTAGAATCGCACCCACTTATTATCAGGCTGCAGATCAGCTCCCAGCAATTATCCCACGATATCAAGAACTTGTCTTCCGCGTTGGTTTCGGCCATCTTTACAACGTACGTCAGCACCACGGCCTGTGCTGTGAGTCTCGTCAGCCAGAAGACCCGCAGGACCGCCGGGAAGCGAATCCTCTTCCACGTATCCTCCATCAGCAGCTGTAATCCATAGATGCGGTACATGTGCCTCACCAGCAGGTAAACATACCGCACCGAGTAATAGAACCATTTAATTTTTGTAACCAGAATGGCTGTGGTGTTCAGCGTCAGCACGAGGCCTGAAAGAAAAACCAGCACCTGCCGGACGCTCACGGGTAGCTCAACAACCAAGCCGATGACAGGGATCAGTATGTCCAGGATGATGAGCTGGGAGTAGATGGACTGCACGTTCAGCAGCGTCACGTATCCGATGCCGAAGGTCAGCTGGAGGATGGAAAGCGCCATCCATAGCGAGGGTCCCTTGTGGGGGAGGAACTGAATCCCAAACGCTGCTGTGTAGTAGGCACTGTAGAAGTTGATGTGCAAAGAAGCGTAGTAATTCACCAACACTGAAGTTGCAGCCAGCAGGAACGCCGAGGCGATCATGTAGAACTTGAAAAGTGCTCGCTGTTGTAACACCAGAACAACACTGGACACAAAGACACCTGAAAGCAGATGGAAACCATTTAGTTCTCGGCAGAAAGTGACCGACAGATTTCACCTATTAGCTTCGGAGAAACGTTTACGTCCATTACTGCTTTCCATGTAGGTGCCCACAACTCCATGCTCCCCGCGGTGCTGCTGTCAGGGCAGTACAGGAGCCACCTCCTCTGCACTTCACACGCCTGCACGTACAGCACCGCTGTCACCGGGTCTGTCTGCAGCCTCAGACCGAGCAGGGCCAGCTTCCAAGCCCTCAAAGACCCTTCCCAATCAGCCTCGAAATCTAAGGGCAGCTGAGCTCTAAAAGCAGACGGCTAACAGCTACAGCACCGGCTCTATACGTACAGTCAGGGAATTCACTCATTTATCCCCATTTTACACCCCCCCGCTTCACCTGAACAAGGCACTCAGCCACAGATGCTGTTTAAAGTATTTTAATTGAACCCCATGCCCTTTTAGATTTTAGTTTTTTAAACCACAGTGGTTGAAACACTGGAAAATTGCTGCAGCTTCCTGGGCACGGGGGCACTCTTCCAATTCTCAATTTGTTTTCATTTCTGATAAGGTTATCCTGAAACGCAAGCTTCATGGAAAAGACCTGCCAGTGTACCACGTTTTTGTAGGCAATTCCAAACTGTGCCACTGGTTTCTTTGCAGGTACCACTGCGAGTTTCTGTCTTATTTATTACGGATCAGATTCGGATCTTGAAATTCCTGTTTGCTAACCCTTCCCTCATACCAACCATCGTGCCTGTGACAGGAAGCCTGGATCTTCCTATGACAAACCATATCGCAGTGCCTGTAGTACCTTTGCACCACAATTTATGCCCTTGCAGCCCGCTCCTCCTGTAGCATAACTCACAAACTCCACCAACACGCCAGCCACAGGCAGGGCCCTTCCCTAGCACTCCTGCAGCACATCCTTAAGCACTTTTTCCTTCAGGAAACTCACTGCCTTTGTTGTGGGTGTCCCACCAGCCTCCTTTTGCTCTCCACAGCTTGTATTTCAGTAGAAGCTGCTTTCCAGCCCTGTTATAAAGCTACTGAAATCCCAAGTAACGCTCTTTTTACTGGAGGATAGGATCAGTTTCTTCTGAAGATGGTGTTTTGGATTGTTCCGAATCCTCCAGAATCAAATATGTAAACAAGGAAATATTCTAAGCCTCTGTATCTTGATCACAGGAATAAGAAATGTGGCTAAGAAGCAGCACTCGGTTCCACCAGTGGCACTGCCAGCTGCTCTTGACCAAACAAAGATGAGCGACTGAATAAGAAGGAAAAATGCGAACATGAAATGATACCAAAAGGTAGACTATCCCCCCCCAAAAAGTTACCTATGCACCTTAACAGTGCTCCTTGCGAGCAGCACTGGCTTATGTAAAAACACACTCCTTAACTAATCATTAACCTTGGGAAGGTGACGGAGGAGAAACTTGCTCAGCTCTCCCACGGAAAGCTGAGACTCGTTGCACACAACAGTTTTGTGGAATTAGCTTGAAAATTTCATTGCCTGCAAAATAAACACCTACGGGAAAGCCGACGGTGCTGAGGAGTTCGTGTCCTCTCTCTGAGCCTCAGGAAAGACTCAGCTGTAACAAGGTTGTTGGCTATCGGATTCTGACCCCTGAAGCCAAGGAGACTTCGTACTAACAAGGTTCCTCTGATCCATGCCCATTAATTAAATCCATTTTTCTGCCTTGCAGTACTTAGATACTGCAGGTCCCCTCGCAAACACTGACCTTCCACATGCCAGACACATCCCTGAAACGCTGCTGCGGTGAGTCAGGCGAGGGAAAAGCGACACCCACGGGTTCCTCTGAAGAGGGCCCAGTGAAAAAACATTTCCCTGTCAACAGGTGCGGGAGGGCCAAGCCCACAGGAACCTCCAAAGATGACACAGACCAGCGGGAATTTCGGAAGGGGCGGTGAGCACGGTGCTCCCCTGCTTATAGGAGATCACATCCATGCCGGGATGTCCCACTGCCCCACGTTGTGCTCACCCAAGAGCAGCCCCTCTCCTCTACCTCACTGCTGCTGTTCCTCCCCGGTGAGATCTGTCTGGTGCTCCCCCAAGTGCTGCTGCTTCACTTCTGAGCACCTTTACCCTTCCTAGCCGTGCCTCCCCACCTCCAGCTACCTGTCCAGCACAGCCTCCAAGCACAGCACTTACTTTTAAAATTGTTCCTTGCCCTGCAACAAATCCCTCTGCTATTTCCTCCTTGCGCTCCTGCAGTTTTGTCAGTACCTTTTTGCAGCAGCACACTACCTAAAATTCAACTTCCAGCCAGAGGCAGGGCTCAATTACCTGTGCTCGTCAGTGCTGCGATCACGTGGAACTGCCAAATTGTTTTGCCCTTGTCCCCAGCCATCGCTCGTAAGCCCGCATCTCTCCACGGACTCCGGTATTATTGCAACCCTCTCCGAGCACCGTGCCCTCCCTGGGGATGGACCGCTTTCTGAAGGAATCCTTTTCCTAAAAGTAAGTGGCGGAGGAACCAAACGGAGGGTTCCTGCAGCGAAACACTTTTAAAACCATTCAGAACTCCATTTAGCCAAGTAAACTGTGCTCCTGGAGTATTTCAGAGCTGTAAGCTGTGCATTTATCCTGTCCTAAGCAGTGCTGTGCTACGAGAAAAGCTTAGATCAGTTTTTCAGTGCCAGCAAACAGTAACTAAAAAGGGGCAATTTCCCCTGTGTTTATATACAGAAGGACCCAAGACAAATATTTCAGCTTACCCTAACAACAAAACCCCAACCCTGTAATCCTTAAATTCAGAGGAAGATATAAAAATAAATAAATGTGTAAGCCTGAACAACATGGAAGGTCTTTACCATGGTCTCTAAGTGGTTACATTTTTAATTTTTGGAAAGCCAAGAACCACAGAGCACTTGTCTCAAAGTACAAGACATACATAAAGTCTTACATAAACTGTTCCCAAAGCTCCTGTGCAGCAGTCAGGGGAGGGATCACCCACTCCTTCCCCCAAACCCTTCCAGAGAAGTGATGATATAAACACGGTCCTGAAGAGCTCCTTCATAATTCAGCCCCATTACCACGCTCCTAAGAGAGATCATCCGACAACACATCCACCCGCCTCGTTTACATCGGATTAAGTTCCAGGCACTTCCTACAGCATCTGGATCACACAGCGAAGGGCTCCTCAGCTGGTTTGGGTGAGGCAGGGCAGTGCCATTTCCCCTTAAAAAGGAGCCATTTCTCAATGAGGCACTCTTAGTAATGACAGAAGGGTGGAACAAAAGGTCCAGAAAATGGGCAAAAGGGAAGGAGAACCCCTCCTGCCCGTCCCAGAGCCCTCAGGACCAGCAGCAGGGCAGGGCAGGACGTCCCTGGGCTTGCTGCTGGCCGCAGCCCTTCCCCAGGTGCTGCAGGGAAGCACCTGCTTTGTGTTTTTAATTTCTTTGGCTCTCCTCTTACCTCCTGCTCACCATCCCCTTGGCCCTCCTCTCTTCACCTAGCGCCGTGCTGTCACCACCACACTTCTCGCTCTTTATCTTTCCTTTTAACCTCTCCTGGAGTTTCCTCCCCTGACAGGTGTCCCACCCGCGTCCTTGCTCACACTTTTTCCTAACACAAACACCAAAACCACACCAAGTTAACACGCCGTGGGCCTGCAAACCCTCCTGCTGTATTTCGGGGGCTCCTTCCCGTCACGGCAATCCCAGCTCCTGTACAATTCGGTGTCAGCAGCGGGCAGCACGAGGGCACACACAGAACCCCTCTTAGCATTACATCCCACACTGAAAATAGCGTGGGATAGGCGTAACAGTGAATTAACCTTTATCTCGGGAAAGAAAACAGCATCTGAGGGTCTGGGGGGCTTCCAGGGGTCGGTTTGCTCTGGAAAAGGAGGAGGAGGAGGAGGAGGAGGAAGAGCAGGGAGCTCCTGAGTGCCCAGCAGCAGGCAGGGGAGCGGGATGGGAGCCACCAGGAGGGGCAAGGGAGGAGAAGACACCCTGAAGGCCCCAGCAGAAGGCAGGCAGAGCTTGGAGGACACCAGGGAGCCGCTCCGGGCCGCGGGAGGGCAGGGGAAGGAAGGAAGGAAGGAAGGAAGGAGCCCATTCCCCACGGCAACGCCTCAGGGGCCGCAGCCAGGCGGGGACAGGCGACAAAAGGGACGGAGGGGGGGGGGGGGGGGGGGGGGCAGGCAGGGCGGCTGTAAACAAGGCCAGAGGGCATGGAGGAGGGCAGGAGGAGGGCAGGAGGTGTCCGTCTCACCCAGCAGCCGCAGCAGCACGGCCAGCAGCGCGGCGCCCACGGAGGAGCCCCCCGGCAGCGGGGCCGCGTTGAAGATGGCGTCGATGAGGAACAGGCTGGGCACCCGCAGCGCGACCTCCAGCCCGCCACGCAGCCGCGGGCCCAGCCGCAGCCAAGCCAGCTGCGGAGGGCCCGGGGCCGCCATATCCCAAAAATAATAATAATAATAAAATTAAAAAAAAAAAAAAAAAAGAGGCTATGAAGGAACGAGGGCGCTACCACCACGCTCCCGCCGCCTCCTCCTCCTCCACCGCCCGGCCCGGCCCGGCCCCCCGCCGCGCCGCCGCCGCATCCATGTTCCCTCAGCGCTGCCTCAGCGCTCCCGGCCCCGGCCGGGCCTCGGGGAGGGGCCGCGGGGCCGTCACCGGGCTCCGCTCCGCCCCCGCCGCCGCCGCCACCGCCTCCGCCTCGGGCCCCGGCCCCCGCCGCCCCCCGGTGCCTCCCCGGAGGGCATGGGGGGAGCCCGGCCCCGGCCCCGACCCCTGAGGTGGAGCCGGGTGTGGGCTGCTGGCCTCCCCCCCCCCTCAAGGAGGCTTCGCCTTCCCCTCTGGCTGCGCTGACAGTTTGTTAAAAATCAGTGAAATCGTAAAAAAAAAAAAAAAAAAGGCGCGCGGTCTCGCGTCAGACGCGGGTCAGGGTGGGTTCCTTCAAGCCGGAAAGCGCTACACCATGACAAATAGAAATAAAGGCGTTTATTTCATGTTATATTGTTATTATGCGCAGGCCCGGCTTGTCTCACAACACTCCTGAGGGATGGGGGTCATGGCATGGCCCCGGGGGTCCCAGCATGGCCCCAGGGGCCCCATCACAGCCCTGGGGGTCCCATCACAGCCCCAGGGCTCTCATCACAGCCCCGGGAGTATCATCACAGCCCCAAGGGTCCCATCACGGCCCCAAGGGTCCCAACAGGGCCCCAAGGGTCCCATCACAGCCCTGGGGGTCTCATCACAGCCCCGGGGCTCCCATCACGGCCCCAAGGGGCCCATCACGGCCCCCCAGTCCCCACTGCCACCCTGGGCCTGCCCTGACACCCCCGGGCCGCCCTCGGCACCATAAGCGCTTCCTGGCTTCTCAGTGAGTCACGCAGCCTGGCGGGGCGATGATCTTTTAATTAGGGACGGGTTAGGCAGAATTTCCTGTTGCTGGTTTGTCTTTTTTTTTTTTTTTCATGTGTGATGCGAAGGACCTGCCTTCCTGGGTACGTAACTGTAGGTCTAGATCGTATGGAGAAGAGAAAAAAATTAAAAGGGTTTTCCTCTGAAATCACGTTTCCTGCCTCTCACATCCTCACAGGTGCCCCACGTATTTGGGCTGCCTGACTTGTGGAAATGCCAAGCTGCCTTGGTGTGGACAAACAAGCAAAAGATGCAAATGTGTAATCAAAGTTATTCCACCCCAAACAGGGGCATTTTCCAGCGCCCTGCCCGTGCCAATTAAAAGCAGTTCGCGGGCCGCCCTGCCTGCTTTTTGGCATCAGCCACGGGGTGACATCTGCAAACGCCAGCCTCTGGCTTCCCCTGTCACAGCTCAGCCCTTCCACACGGCTGCCCAGCTCACGGCTTAAGCCCTTTCCATTATTTTCCAAGGATGTTGGACCGGGCCCAAGAGAGTTGCATATGAACTTTCCTAAGCCGTGCCCGGCGCTCGCAAAACCAGAAAAGTTGCCAGATTGCTAAAGGATTGCGTTACAAAACCCGTGTACATGGGCAAAGTGCATTTTTTAATCACATGGTGGAAGGCATAACTCTGACCCAGTAACCGCCCTGGTGCCAAATAAGAGTTAGAGGTTAGGGCTTAAAATGTGAAAAGTGTTTATTTTACTTACATTTGCAGATGGCTGGATCAAAGTGATTCAGACTTTCCTGAGTAACTTTACTCCCCAGCTGCTAAACTAACTGCTACTGAGCGGCTAACTATAAATAAAAGTATTTGTTTCGCAATGACAAACAATGTAAATCAAACAGATCTGTGTACTTGATAATTCTCCATAATTCATACAAAAATATTTCTTTATACAAGGTGGAATTTCAAGAAATCAACAGCTTAAAACACCGTTTATGGAAATAGAGTTCCATGCCTTCTGGAGGCCCTTCCAACTTCATTTAATGTCCTCATAAGTCAAGATCTTACATCTATGTTTTGCAATACAGGATCAGAGGCAATGTTATAGAATATATTTATATTGCTTTAAGAACATATCAATTAAATGGAATCTATTAAATTGATTTTCAGGTTTAAAAATGTACATTTACAGGTATATTTTACGGATATTATTTAGGCATGGAAGTAAATTATTTGTACAAGACAGTTCCAGAAATCGTAGTGTTACCAAAGTGTATTAGGTCAAATTCATTGATTTTTACACATATGTTTCAGAAAACTTCCAGTGTTTAAGAGTCTCACTGTTAATCTTAGTTAAATTAAATATATATATATATATAAACGTGATTATGGTACACATGGTATGTATGAAGATGACACCTACTGGATACTTGTAATTTTACAGTTTGCACTACTGAAATCTTCAAATACAGAATAATAAACCAAATTCAACATTGTGACACAACCATAACTACTGATTTCTCTTCAGTTGCATATACAAATTCAGGAAAATTTGTCATTATTTAAGATAAGTCTCAACTTCTTTTTAAAAGCAAATGTGGGAGGGTAAATCCTATTCTATATAAATTCATATTAATACTTGTGGACAAACTTTTCTCAGCTGGGGGCTTCTTAATATTCTTGTCCATAAATTAAAAGATAAATTAAGCATGAAATTCCTTTATTTGTCTATATGGATTAATTGTCAGGGGCACATTGTCCTGAAGTCCAAGGTGAAGCTTGTTCCGCATGTCAGTGTACACCTGACCTGGTAAAAGTGTCAAGCCTACACGGCTACACCCCATGTCAGGGCAGCACAAAGAACATGCCCTAGAGATACGATTGATAATACATAAGACCTTAACACTAGTCAACACTTTCTGAGTAAATTAATACACCTCCTATATCAGGCAGCAAGTCAGAAAGTCCCTGATCTATTTATTTCAATGACAAATGTATGCCATTGGGATTCCTCAATGTTCTATACGAGCAGATAGGAACAGGTTGGGGTTTTATTCCATCATTTAAAAATTACTGCCGAGGCTGTGGGGAGAGTCTGTGCCCATGCAAGGTGGCCACATCTACAGCCGCTGTTTGGCAAAACTCCTCCCTTTGCTTGAATGATCTCATGAGCCTTTCAAACCAAAGACTTTGCTGGATTAAAAGCAATGCTTACACCAGATATTACAAAATGACATGGCCATGCAAAAATCACTTTTTTTAAGGGGAAAAGGATAAAAATGCGAGGAAGCGTCAGAGTACCATTTTGATTTCTAACTTCAAGATCCTGGAAACTGTAAAAACAGTATCTTTGCCTTGAAGCACCTTATATAAATTTAGCCTGATACAGTATTTTTTGTAAGAATTAAAACAGTTGGCTAATAAGAAAAAGTTAAAAACGTGCATGTCAGAAATGAGAAGTTTTAGTTTGCAATGAATGTAACAATCCATTAGCTATTTCAAATTTGATTTCTCCTTCCCAAATATCTTTTGAAATGAACTATATGATTTGATTTTATATTTCTTATAGAAGAATAAAGCTCTCTACAGCTTATCTTTCCTTTTGCTGTAAGAATTAAAATCAGTGAATATGTCTATAGTGGGGACTGAAACAAAAAACAGGAATCGTGAAAGGAACCTAAGTGGATAACTCTGTTTTCTTGTCCCAGGATGATATTCTAGCACGAGCAACTAATGTGCCTGCCTTTTTTTAAAGAAGCCAAGTTTTTTTTTTTTTTAATAAAGCCTAATAAAGCTTATGTTTAATTAACATAAGCGTAGGTGAATTCTGCAGGTGGGCGACCCCCAGCTGTGCCTTGCTGAAGCTGCTGTGCGCCTCCTGCAGCTTATCCCATCAGTTCTGCCTGTCTGAATGCCCTGCATGGCTGCCTGAGGAGGTGTGCTACCAATGACAACAAATTCCCAGCTAATGCGGAGAGATCCTGGGGCTTTCCCAACCCTGCCCTTGTCCTGCCGTTCAGGACAGACTTTTGTACGTGGTGCTTTTGGCGTGGTGCTTGTGAAATGTCTGAACGCTAACGTAATTATGGTTTAATTTGGAAGATTTATGCTCACGTGACTGCTTGAACGCTATTATTAAAGGCACTGGTAGTCTTGACCCAAGAATAGTTTCTGTCTGTGCTGCTCACCACCCTATCTGTCTGGTTTCCTATCTGTGACCAGCACACAGCCAGGTGGCAGGAAAAGCAAGAGATGGGGAATCCAAAGCCCGCAGCCACCTTCCTGGTGTCCGTCTGGCTACGGGAGAGCTGCAGGGCCTGCCACCAGCCTCCTTCCTCGCCGTGGACATCACTGCCTGCTTGCAAGGCCGAGCTGCCCAGCTCCCGCAGGGAGGCACCGCACTCAGGGCACTGCTCACCTTTGCCCTTTCTGGCTCCAGTTCTCGGTGCTGGGGCCTTTAGGAAGGGCACTGCTTAAGGCAGCTCCTCCCTGATCTTTCACCTCCCCTAGTT